AAGTTGCTCGAGAATCACGGTGAAATTCGGATTTCCTTTTCTTCCTACCGTTAGTAATAATTAAGGACGCGTTGGGATCGATCGTGGAAATATGTATCGATGGAGGTCGAGACCACGCACGGTAGCCTTAAGAGGGACTAATCGTCGAGGTATATCTCCTCTTCGTTTTGTTACCGTTACGCGAGGAGATCGGTGTGCGGACGCGCGTACGTGTGGGTGCGCATTCGATGCAAGACCCTCCTACACACCGCGGTGCCGTGGATAGGGACGAGAAGAGAGAAATATTCAGCGAGCGGACACGTAAAGGACGCGGGAGCGTGCTCCACGGTTGCGTATTCGGCCTGTTTCGAGCTCTCACTATATACAGCCATACGACCGGCTACCATATAAGGACCTATACACAGCCTTGTCGATGCTGACCCACCGTTGGAACATGTATCCCTCGAAACGCTCTCCCGTAGCCACGGTGTACGCTCATTTGCTCGGCTCTCTGGACTTCGAACCCGCGACTCGCTCTTGCACCATTCTCGCGTCGTTATCCTGCCTCTAGCCCCGCGCCCCGTATCATTTTTGACGGCCTAATCCACGGGTCGGCAACCTTCTTTTAGCGAAGAGCTACGGCGATGCCCGCTTAAATGTCAGCGCTGGTTCCCGAGGTTTGCGAACCACTGAACAAAATTACATTACGAATGTAAACAGAAATTATTGAATAAAACTAATTTGCGAATCGATACTTTGCAATTATATTCACGAGAATGTACGATGATGCTCGCTTAAATTTCACAAAACTCGGGAAGTAGTGAGATTCAAACGGGCGTCACTGAGTTCTTTCGTAGATATATTTGGAAGATTATACAAGTATCAATTTGTAGATTATTTTTGTTAAGTGATTTTATTCGTTAAGAAGAATATAGTGAATATATACTTGACTGAAAATGTAGTTAATCGAATGATTAGGAAATTAATGCGAATTCTGCTGATGGGTGTCTTCAAGGTTTAAGCGACTCTGCAGTTTAATATCGTTGAGCTGTGACGTTACGTTACGTTTAAGGAAATTCGTGTTGCTAAACGTCTGCTCGGAAGAATATGTGGACTCGGTGATATATATTATTACAAATGTTCATTTGTGAAGATTCAGTTGTGCATTAGATAGTAATTATTTCGAGTAGAACAGATTTTAGATGGAAGTTGTCGATCCCTGATCTAATCGTTTCTGGACATACAGCGATTCTCCGTTGCCACTTGGTTCGATGCGTCAAAATTACAAAATTTGACGTTTGCCATGAAGTTTTGTACAGTGCTATAATTGTAAAAAAATGTTGAAAAATCTGCCGAGTGCAAACAACGAAACGTTCCTCCTTCGAAATTTAATGAAGTCAACGTCCGAGCATTAACACGCTGACCGACACGAGAATCTCGATTGCTTCGTGTACCAAATTTATTTTCTCCCGTTAATCCGTCCGATTCTTTGGTTGTTACCGTTAACGCTATCGTTCCTCTTATCCACCTCGCCACGAACAAAGTAATCGGTCGAATAAAGTCGCCAGCGTGTTGCTCCAATTCGATCGACGATTTACGAGCGATTTCTCGCGACTGTCCTTTTTATTCAGCGCGCGGTTTCTCTGTTCCGCTTACCGGCGCGCATTTTTCACGTGTTTTCCTCGCGACACAGAGGAATCGCCGGGCGTGAAGCCGGTGTAAACCGAACGCCGCCGCTCCGACTTGTTTTCTAAGCGGAATTCTTCTCGCCGCATTTTAACCGAGTTCGCGAAGTATGTAATTCGACGCTGAAATTTCCTGAACACACTCGCAACAGTCCGTTCACGGCACAGTTACAGAACCGTCGCTTTTTCGCGAATAACCGATGGACAATAAGGAAATCGTGCAAGCGACTTCGCCAACAATAAAAGAATCTTCGCGTCAGCTCGGAAAGCAATATTTTTTCGATCGATCCATGAAATATCATCTTCGCGTCGCAAGCTGCGTGGTTCATTGCACTTGAAATCGCGACTGGTGACTCAATCGATAGATAACGAGCCGCTGAAAAGTCATACGACGCGATCGTTTTGATAAAGAATGCAGATGAATCTCTCCTCCCTCTCGTTAGCGTATCATCTCGTAAAAATAGTCATCTAGACGCTAAAACTGACGAACGCGGACGGCCGGGCCGGCGCAAATAGACGAAAAAGACAACAACGTGTGTCAGAGAAAATGAAGAAAAGAAATAAGCGGGTGGGGGCCCGGCCGGCATGAGTCACCGTAAGGTTCCAGTGGCGCGCAAACTTCTTTTTTTTTCCTTCTCTCCTTTTTAATTACACGTCGCTCCTAACTCGCGTACAATCGCGACGCGCGACTCTATTTACACTGTTCCCCGTCGCCGTCGGCTCGCCGTGCACGGGAATCGAGCTCTCCTCGCGCGAGACATTCCGCGCGCAATAACGCCGCGGCACGATAACACGCGAAAACACAGCGGCCGTCGACGATTGCGCGTCACTGGCCTTAACAGCCGTAAAGCGTAAAAGCAGCACCGCGAGTGCCGGATTCGAATCGTAGGAGCACACGACGACGAGTCCCCGAGTCATCGTACGTGCCGGGACTGTCGATCTTTCCCTCTTTCTTTCGTTTTTTCCGCCCGTTCGTACATATTTCGACTCGCGCCGATGGAACGAACGCGCGCGTCGCCGTTTTTAACGACGCGCCGCGCGCGCGAAACTGGCTTTCCCCTCGGCTAACTGTGATTCTGTCGTAGGCGTGAAGAGGCACGCGCGAAAATCCTGTGGAAGAAAAGCGAAGCGGTCCTGTCCAGCCGACGGAAACTCGAAGCTAGACCAACGTAGCGAAGGAAACCGAAACGAACGACTCGCGTAGAAGAACGGATTTTAGGGAAAGATCGGAACGAGGGAACTGTCTGAGTAGTATTGGTTAATAGACAGACGTACGAATGCTTGAATACCAATAGCGAAATGAGGAAGGTTTAAATATTCCTTTCGCAAATGAGAAACGAAAGATGAATAGAATTTGGGATAGAACGAGTGCTAGATGGATTCTTGTTCCGATCCGATTCGCCTCGATCTCACCCGCTTCACTAGTTCAATTCCCGAGATAGTTATTTCGCTGTACGTTGAACGCGGAGCGTCGTTCCTTCGTGTTCCCCGGTTCTCCTCGGGGAAAAGAACGCGTGGCCGGACCTTGAAAAAAAATCGCGTTCGATAAAAACGCGAGCGTTTCGGTAGGAGATTACGCGGCGAAGTATGTATGACAAGAAACGAAACAGCGGCAGGGGCAGGCGGGGACCGGAAGCGTCGAGCTTCTGCCGCTTCCGCTTCGTAACACGTCAGTCGACGGTAGCGCAGCAGCAGCAGCGAGGAGATTCGCAGATAAAGAAAAGTCTCGGCTGCTGATTCGTTCCCGGCCGAATTTTAACGAGATCACGAAGGTCTTTCTCGCTGAACGCGGACAATAATCGTCTAGCCTCTCTCTCTTCCTCTCTCTCTCTCTTTTTCAGCGTGTCCAGCCACCTGAATATAAAAACCTCTAAACCCCGTCGGGCTTGAAGCGAGCCGGTGCGCGCGCGCGTGTTCGTTAATTAGAATCCCGCCGGAAAAAAGCTTCCGTTTCGAGCGGGGACTCGAAAATCCGTTATTTTCTGCAAGAAGACGGCGAGAAGACCGGAAACGCTAAGCGAACAGCAGCAACAGCTGCCTGGCTTTTGCATTCGCCAGAAACGGGTGCCGTTATTCGTCCGGAATTTATGACACTTGCGCCTTTCCTCGGCTTGCTCGCTGCATCTCCCCTCGTCGGGATCGGCGGAGGCTCGCCGGAGGAACGAAAATCGACGAACACCTCTCTATCTCTCTCTCTTTCTCGTCCCTCCTCGCCTCCTCGTCTCGCCAGGCTGCGCCGAAGCGTCGGGAATATTAATTTCGTTGTCGGCCGGCAGCTCTCGAAAACGCGGCGAACGCCTCGTTATTTAACGCTCCCCCGTCGACGTGTCCCCGACGTTTCTGCCAATAATTCTCGCGACGAGAAGCGCCGTCCCCATCGATACCGCCGCCGATAGGCCGCGCGCGGCCGCGAACGGCCGGTTCACGTTGACGCATCAACCTTGCCCCATTCCCGGTAACACGATAACAATGAACCGACGCGTGCGTTCGCCGGCACCGGGAGATTTGCGCGTTTTCTTGTTTCCGATGGCCAACGCTGCCCGTCTCAGTCGTTTGCACCTTACCAGGAATCCCCTGGTGTACTTTACGTGTGTAAACAACGGCGAGCAAACGCGAATTTCATGGAATCACCGGTTCTTCGGTGGAATGATTATCAAAGAGTTACGTAGACGAATGGAGTGTACGATATGATTCGTTTAAATCATTCACGAGAGTCTCGTGATGAAGTATTTTGAAGACATATTGTTTTATGGCGTTTATATGAATTCATTTTCGCCTGACGGTGTACAGTTTGAATGTAAAATAATATTCTAATCGTCATTCTGTAACTTATTGTATCTTATGATTGTTTAATTTTCCTACTGGCGGAGTATTCGTATCACTCGGTGTATTGTTATTGTTACGTGTTTCGTATTCGTCAAATTGTCCAGCCGCGGTGCCGTCCTTATCAATTCCGCGGTTGCTTTGTCATTCGCGGCGCGGTAAACAGCAACGTATCGCGGTCGCGCAGTAAAAAGAAAGAAGAAACGGCTGGACGGTTAATTTCAGACCGTTCGAGTTGTTGATGTCACTCCTGTTGTTGAAATTTCTTTTTCTGCTAGTAATCTCGTGCTCCGGGGGACCCGGCCGGTTCGACTGGCAGCGAAAGTTCGCTTGCGTGTCGCGAAGCACCGAGAGCAAATATTTGTCGTGGCGATTAAGAATATCTGGAGGTGTCTTTACGCGTCGAAGAGACCTCGCGATGCTTGGGTTCTGAGCGAATGATTCCGCCTAGGTTATATCTGGATTTTTCGAGGATGGATTTTCTCGGTGGTAACGATCGTTTTCTCGTTGCAGATTAAAGAGTACAACAAAGCCACCATGTCGAGTCCGTCGCTGAAGGATTTGCCAAAAGTAGCCTTAGACTTGAAAAGCGAGCTGGAGGGTTTCAACCATGGCTGCATGAAGAAAGCAGCGACCGCTGAGAAGAATGTTTTGCCTTCCGCCGAAGGTACATTTAACGCGGGCGTTAACGTTGTACAGGGTGCCTCTTGATTAACGTCACGAAATTAACGAACAGCGAATGTCAGCCTTGGAACCGTCTCTTCATCGAGATACAATGTTATTTACATTATTAACCCGTTGCACTCGACAATATTTTTCATTAAAAATATTCATTACTTCCTAAGTATTAACGATATTTTTCGCAACTATCAATTATCTTATATAAATTAAGAGACTATTTTACTTCGATGTTTCATGTATTGATACAGTACACAACATTGAATTGAAAATTTTATAAGTTTGCGACAGTAAGGTGACTGAGTGCAAAGGGTTAATGCATTATTAACATTTCATTTATCATAATGTCAGAAAGGAATGAGACTTGTAATCTTCAGAACCATGTCCATTGGTTTCGCAGTACGCGTAACGTACGCTTGAAAATTCAGTGACACCTTAGAGTCACCCTGTACACGTGCACTTTGTTTTCTAACGTACATGTCTCTTGTAATTAATAAGAAGAATATACCCGTGACAGAGGATTAGCTAGAATCCGATGTTAATCGATCGATAAGAATTGTAACATGCGTATTATATCTAGACGTGCGACAAGAACGACAGCATTCCGAATTGATCCACGACGTGGAATCGTTTAAGCCAGATCAATTGAAACACGCCGACACAAAAGAGAAGATTATTTTACCCAACGCCAAAGGTACCGAAGACAGGTTTCCGTTTCTTCAGCCGGTAACAGAGGGGCCTGTTGCTTCCGGTGCTTCGAGGTGGCGCGAGCAAACGCACACACGAGCGGCCACTCGAATTCGTGGACACTCGCTTTTGCTTTCGGATAGCACAGGCGGAATTGTGCGTTGATCCTTGCATGGGAAATCGTTGGTCTTCTTGGTCTCTTTACTGTCAACGAGAATATCACGGCGACACATTCTCGAAGTATCATAATAACACTCCACAGCTTTTTAACATTCTTTGCTAAGGGATAACTCATGAAAACATTGGTCGCTTAGGGACGGTCGTGTAAGATTCTTCAAAAAATCTGGACATGGTTAGTAGTCAAAGCCAGAACGTTTGTAAAATTTGATGAGGGTATAAAATATGCGTTATAATTATACAGAATGAAATGCGCGAAAGAGAACTTCAACTTCCGTTTCAACTTATCTTTGAATTATACGTTTTCTGCCAGACTCATGTCCATATTTAATGAAACAGTCGTTACATGTATGGCTTACGTTTGGATTTGTACAGGGTGGAGAGAAATTATTTTATTTCCTTTGTCATAGCATGATTCTATACTTTCAGTTTGATGGAAATTAAGATAAATGAGCTGCCGCAAAATTCCCTTTGACCTTGACTAAAAGGGTTGAAATCTCATCGATCTCATTCTCTTTAATGGAGTGTAGAAAAGGACAATCGATATCGCGTTCCAACTTTGGACCCTTTCGTTCAAGATGAAAGTGAATTTCGCGGCAGCTTCGTTACCTCAATCTCCATCAAACCGGAAGTGTAGAATCACGTTACGACAAGAAGGGACAATCATTTAGTTCCACCCTATACTTTTCATAAAAACATCATACATCTGTATAGAGAACAAAGCTTTGAAGACTTTCACTTATTTGCTTTTCTATTTTTCTTTAACTGTTATTTATGATTTTATAGACGTAGCCGCGGAGAAAACTCAACAAACGTTGATCGCCGGCATCGAAAAATTCGACCAGAGCAGTCTAAAACGCACTGAGACCCAAGAAAAAAATCCTCTACCTGACAAGGATGGTACAGTATCGTTCTCTATACTTTGTTTCTCCTTCCGTTGGTTCTGATACACGTGAAAAGTAAAAGTTGCATGCCTCTCGTTATACAGTGATCCAGCAGGAGAAGGGTAAACAACAGCTAATCTCTGGAATTGAAAATTTCGATCAGGCGAAACTGAAGCACGCGGAAACGCTGGAGAAAAATCCCCTGCCAACCAAAGAAGGTGAGCCTTTGTTCGTCGACTGTATTTTAACAGCTTGAAAGTGTATCTCGAAGGGTAGAAAATAATTGGAATTACCGTTTACTGTTTCAGCGATCGATGCTGAGAAAATAGCTGCTTAAAGGAAGCTTTTGTGATTCAAAGA